TATATATATATATATATATATATATATATATATATTATATTATATTTCACAAAACCTTATAGACTATAGACAACGTTAATATGGCATATTAACGTTGCAAGGAAATATTTAAAGTTGGTACTTACAGCCGATGTAGGAATTCGGGCATTGGCTCCTGAATTGCGAACAGTAAGAACCGTAGGGTGGATTTTTACTAGATCCTCTTGCCTTGGTGATGGATTTCTGCGCAAAATGAGGCAACAGAGAGAAACAGCTAATTAATAAATGTGCTCCAACATGCAATAAAAGACAGTTGGGTTGAATACATAGCGAAAATGCATTAAACTATTTACCGAGTAAGAAAACGGGAAAACAGGCTCCTCCTTATCGTGAAATGTAGGGTGCAAAAATATTTGAGCTTTTGGGGGCAAAAATAATATGGTATAATGAAATTAAAATAAGAGATCACATTTTCTATCAGCATAAACTGAAATTATTTATTATAACTAACACTTAAATTAACAAAGCATACAGCTGAAAAAAAGTAATTGCAAATTCCAAAAAATCCAGTATACCATTTGCATAACTTTTTTGCAATGCGCTAATTTTTGGAAAAAGAATCGTTGTTTTGTATGTCTATTATTATTAGTAAGGTATTTAAAGCCTGTAAATATTAAGTTGGTCATGCATAAGACTTAACGGAACCATTAATGCTATTTGTATTCCTAGTGCGAACTATCTATTTACAACGGTATCTCCTAAAAATTTCGTGACAAAAAATTAATTTTTGATTTAGTAGCAACCATTTGATGGAGGTACTTGTACCAATTTTTCAATTCTTAACATTGTGTATTGAGCGTATATGAGGTTTGTTTGTACTCGAAACGTGGACTCTAATGCAATCACCCCTTTGTCAGTATCTCCTAATTTTGCAGAAGCGCCCGATTGCGTACATTGTTTCGATTTTGATGCGTCGAATTTTGAAGAATGAACACAATGTCATCACAGGATGAACTGTTAAGCTATATAATATCATGAACAACTCGACGCTTCTCGAAACAACTACCCTATAATTATATAATATGATTTCTAATAATTCTATTATTTGAGTAGCTATAAAGTATATGTAATTTTAAAGCCTTCATTTCGGGTTACAGTGTATGGTATATATTACGCGAGTACGTTCAATAAGAGCTGGGAATTCGCCAAGGTAAGCCATTGTGTTCACTGTGACGGAATCTAACCCAGTTTACCTATTTATATTATTAATATTGTGCACAATTAGATTAACTATCTAAACTTTCTAAACACTTTCCTTTTATTGTATGTAGTGTGAAATGTAATGTCATCTATCGCATGAAATGTACTGTCGGGGAATTGAAAACTACGCCAGCTTGCACGCAACCAAATCCCAACCCACTCACGAACGAACTGAACTAATGAGCGGCAATAGCTTAGATATTCTCATCTACGGCCTCTATCCTCAACTGAGGCAAAATAATTATTTCCTCACAATGATCTTTAAAACATCACTTCCATATAAGTAGGAAATGCATTTGAATGAAAGGCGTCTTGTGTCTACCCCCCCAATTGCCCAAGCTGTTAATCGATAGGGAACTCATCAAGTCATAACTTAAACAAACATAGAATTTTCAATATGAATTCCTTACTCTATTTTTCCTATGATTAAAAATAGAGTACACAGTTTTTTAGGAAGGGTTCATTTGCACTAATATGAATAGGCATTCGAGTATTGATTTTTACAAATGCTATACATAATACTGAGAGACTTAGATTAAAATATCTTAGAAAAATAAAATATGATAATTTCTTTAGAGGTTGGTATTGAATATTTATCTTTCATTAATATAATAATCGTCGGTTATATAAATTTTCTCCTGAACACCAATTGAATCAGCATACATTTGCAGACCATACTTCATATAGGCAATTTTGAATCCAGATCAATAAACATCAAGTAGTAAAGTTCTATGCCGACTTACATTTCAATCATTTCTTGATGAATCTTCCTTGATCGGCTTTCTTCTAACCTGTAAGGAGGTCGTTTTCCACCAGCTGAACTGGATCTATTCTGTTTTACAATTGCTGCAGAAGCACTTGCTCTTTTAAGGTTTCGGGATCTATCGGCTACACCAGTTGGCTCTTCAGCCGGTTGCCTCCCAATTAGAAACTCATTCCTCTCTGTTACTTTCATTTCAGACGAGCATCGATAACTAATTCGCACGAGTTTTGGGGAACTTGCCGAGGAGATAGCCGAATTTGGGAGATTAGAATGAGACTCGGTAGCAATCATTTTGGCGAAATTCACCATTACGATCTGTCCTTGTTGATGTTAATCAAGGCGATTGTGAACAGAAAAAGTCAGTAACTGGAGAAATGAAAGGATTAAATTGAGATTGCGTTGTTAGTTGAATGAAGTTCTACTTCTCAATGTCATTTATTGGTTGAGCTGTGCGCAAGTGCGGAAGTGCAACCTTTCTCACCCACTCTCTCTCGCGACCCTGAAATTGCACAATACACAAATTGCATTCTGAGAGAAAAAAAGGGGAGGGTTTTATTGCATTTAATGAGCTCGAATAAAGGCTCGCTCCAAGAAGAAAGCTCGTTCTTTGTCTGCTTTTAGACCTCTAGAATCGCGACAACTTGCTCCACATTCAGGTCAGAATGGAGCTAATCAAAAGGCTTTGCAAGTGCTCCATTTTTTCAAACCTTAAACAAGCGGAAACATTTCATTACGGAAAGCAGCAGGACGGCTCCCTTAGAGAATGGATTGGCTTTCACGAATTTGAAATTTGATTTCTATAACCTTGAACATGCCAGATAGTCTACTGTTTGGATAATATGTCTTGTTTGTAACAAGTTCTCAAACAAATAACAGCATTTGGTATACAAATTTGCTTGTAGTTCTTAGATTCATTAAATGAAAAACCCGCTATTCCACCGGCATTAGGCAAGCTTAATCTGCCCTATGAATCATTCCACTCCCTTAAGATGAGTTAACGGGCATTGAAATTATTGACTTGTAAATAGACTAAGTCTTCTTCTTCTCCTAATCCAAACTTTGAATTTATAAGTTGGTAATGTTTGTTTGCATTGATTTACTCTCACCGACACAAAAATACAACTTTGGCAAGCATTTTCTGGCATTAATAGCAAATAATCACTAAATAAGGAATCTGTGTGAACTCTGCGCCGAAGTAGCCTTTGATTGTGATAAAGTGGGTGCGTCGATGGTGGGGTGGTCAGAGAACATGTCTGCTAAGCCAGGAGTCATAAGATTAACGTTTACAGGTGATCAATTAGTGAGGTGGATCCAGATCGAAGAAGCAGTCCTTCCTTTTATTTAATGTTAGCACTGCAAACACTGCTTTCACTTGATATCTTTAGATGGTATAAATTTACAACGAGGTGTTAGAATCTTGGAGTGTGGGATAGATTTTACCTCCACGTGGTGCACCCTGGGCAACGTATACTCATACGACAAAAAGTCTATTACCTGGCAGTTGACTTCTGACTTCAAACTGCCATGACCCCACTGTATGTCATATTCGACTACTTCCACAGTACTCACCTCACCTTTTTTCCACCTTATCTACCTTCGTCTTTGTAACACTCTTCTGTTCCCCCTCCCTTTTTAATTTTTTTACACTTAGGTGTCCCTCCCCTCTGTGAAGCCTGAAGTCAACTAAAGGGCTAATGACAACCATCAAGACGCCTGCCATTTGATATAATAATAATAATTATTATTTAATGTTAGCACTGCAAACACCGCTTACACTAGATATCTTTAGATGGTATAAATTTACAACGAGGTGTTTGAATCGTTTAAGGGGAACTTTCGAAATGCTAAAACAAAACCCATTTAAGCTTCCTAATGACCCATTTTGCTCATTCCGTTTATATGCACAGTGAAAGGTTCAAGATCTTCTATGACCCTTCATGGTATAATCCAGTCCCATTGCGACACATAGCATTCAGGCTAGCCTCCTTCAGTGCTAGTTACCGATATATCAATCGTGTCTTCTTTTCCAGTGCCTACTTTCTCCAAAAAGCAGAAATTTTTTGATCTCTTCATTCACACAGAGACTTTATATTCCGGTGGATCCTAATAAGATTGGTTAAGCACAGGCCTTCCTTGTGGAAGGTTGATCTGTAAGTAGTCAGTAAACCTCTCATCTTTAAGGTTGCCACTTTAATCATCCAGTTATTAATTATGGCACTCTGAAGAAGATTGTGATTAAACTCCTTGGGTCAAATAACTGGCATAATTTGTTAAATACAAATTAGTATGTAATGTACATCATAACGTAACACTGAATATTTACTTAAGAACATGACTTGTTTAAATCGATCGAATTTGGTACATATATTTGCTAAAACACGTGAAGGAAGGCCTAAAACTTCAATTCTTTAAGTGGCATGCGCAAATGCGAAGGCAATTTTATAACTTTGCATTTTTGGTGCGGGGTGTGCGATAGACTTACCTCCACGTGGTACACCTGGGCAACGCATACTCATACGGCAAAAACTGTCCATAAACCGCCAGCTGACTTCAAACTACCATGACCCGACTCTATGTCATATTCGACCCCTTCAGCAGTACTCACCTTACCCATTTCTCTGCCTTTATATCTGTCTCTTTTACATCTTTAAATCGCTCTTCTGCGCCCCTTCTTTAATTTTCCCACTTTCATGTTCCTCCTCTCTGTGTGAAGCCCGAAGTCAGCTAAAGGGCTAATGATAACTATCATAAAGCCTGCCATTTGATATATAACATTTTTGGTGTATATTAGAGACTTTGATGGAGTTCTCAATAAGAACGCAAATTGAAAATAGCAAGCAAATAAACAGGGCATTAAATTGGGAGGTTCTTTGACAGGGACATTAACTCCTACTTTAGGAACAGCACACATTTATCCTTAGAAATTCTAGAGGGAATGAGTAATCAGTTTTGAATAACGCTCAACAATCAAATTCGGTCAAGCACTTCCGCTATATTTCTTCCCTCTGAGATAATTGGCAGACACAAAGACATTAAACAATGTGTCATTTAACTGGCCGTCTCAAAGAAGCAAGATCATAGATAAACAAATAAGTATTAATGTTTACTAAATAGGTTTTTTCTCAGAAAAGTAGTATTTGCAATAAACAAAACAGGGAGACTTATCCTCTATTAAAAAAGAATTCAGTAATACCAAAGAACCAATAAATTTATCAGGATGGGGAATCAATGAAAATACCGATAAGATGGTAAGCGTTTTTTTGAAATCTCAATAGAGCCTTCATGCCAATTACATGTTGCGACATGATCTAATTACTCCCAAGCGATTGGAGCTTTTTTAGGATATACAGTTTTTTTCCCTTCTTGGCTTCCAAATAACGACTGATGAGATATTCAAGGGAGTAAGCGAACAGCAATATGAATTGACACGTAACTCAGTCAAAATGCCTGCCTCGACACTTCAGACAGTTTTATATGAAAACAACAGTACTAATTGATTTTAGAATTCCACATTTTCGCCACACCTGTAGAATTCTAAAGGTATGAAAAACATTGGTGACGTAATCATTAATTTGCAGTAGGAACTATTAAACAGTCATTAGAAAAGTCTCCTCTACACGTCAAACACATCTAAACAATGTTATGCGACAAGCTCAACTTGAAAACAAACCTCTGGGGCTTACTGATTTCGTAGAATCTACAAAGCTCAGCGTCTTAAATGCGAAATATTTCGAGATAGACACGGAGGGTGTTTGGCTTATAAGACTGCAATCCACAAACCTTTGGATGACTATTTGCCATGCCAAATCATGCAGAGTGGTAAAATAAATTAATAGGAAGTACCAAGAGTGGACACGCATGTTAGGTTAAATGTTAATTAATCCTTGTTATGGCATAAAGCTCACAGATTACTCACCTAGAGCAAATTTGAAATGCTACCTGCCGCTGGGGTCAAATCTGTAGAAAGTGTTAACAGCTCGCATAATCGATTTAAGGCAATCAAGCAGGTCGATAACGGTAACAAAAAGAAGCGCTCGACCTTTCATACCTATTAGATTTTTGAGAATTTTTTTAGTAATCACGCTTTTTCAAGGATCCTTCGTGAAGATGTTAAATTAGCCCACTGCTTTCAATCTATACCCTCAACAAAATATCAATTAATTGACATATGTTTTTTATGCCTATTAATCAATAGTATTGAAATGGTATGTTTTCACTTGCCGGTTTCAAAACCAGGGTAAAACTAATTTATTCTTCGCTTTCATTCATTGTGTTATTATCGTCAACACTTTGATAACGTTGAAAGCCACTTACCTAAGATATCTTAAATTTCCCAAAGAGATAGCAAGTAATTGTAATTTTAATCAACTTACAATCTGGCAATTGTTTTTCTTACGTCCTCGTAGAATGTAAAGGTCAACATTGGAAGGGGATTCACATGGATTTAAATGATTTTCATTTTTTTAAGGTCACAAACTTTGGCACCCTGTTGTGTGTGTAACACGAGTCAAAGCAGCGCCTTTTGGAAATACTTTGGTAGATTTCTGGCGTAAGTTAATTGATATGTTTTCTCGTTTAGGTAAACAAATAGATAGGTACAGTTCAAACGTGGTAATTAAAACGTTATTCACACTTTAATTTTAAAATAAACTTCACGTATTTAAACAACAATGTAAGTTAAGCCTTGAAATTCACAATTCCACCAATGACAATTGCTGAAATGATTTGGTCTCATTAATGAGAAGTATCGGCTGTATCTGCGCTCTCTGACTTATAGGATCGGTCGATCCTTTGACTGGCATTCACCAACGAACGGGGGACATGAAACTTGTCAGACACCTTTAAGAAACTCATTTCACCCATTTCTCACAGCTCCGGTTATCCACGCCCAGTGCTATTGCCTTCCTTTACCGCCTTTCTCAAGGTCCACTCACCTTCTTCATTTACCTTTTTCGTCGATTCTCAACTCTCCATTATGCTGTGGCTCTGAGTTACTCATTACCTTCTCACTAGGAAGGAGATGGTATGCTGTTTTTGCCTGAGGAAGAACGGTATCTCCATTGAAGAAAATTCGGTATAATTTGATCTAACTCATAAAGTAGCTATTCTGACAGGAATAAAATGTCTTTATACCTACAAAATCAATGTTTTTTGTGAATTTCGCCATGAACAAGATAAGAGGTGACGTGAAGACAATATGAACCAGGAAGACACCACCCTACATTTTGAGTAAAAAGAGAAGCCATGTGTGTGGCAAATGCATAAGTTATAATTGAGTCTGAATGAAGTTC